CCATCACAGGAATACTAAATTCAGTATAGCTGTCATCCTGATAGAAATAAATAAATCTGATTAATCAGACCATAGCTGTAAGTGCATCAGGATTTCAGTTAATTTTCTACAGATAATTAGATAAAAAACTCCACCAAAGTAAGCTAAGAGTTTTCATTGCTTTGTACTGGCCTTCTGGCCTCTATAAACTCAGTTAGCTTCAGGCTGAATTTGCTGTTTTCAAGACTTAAAGTGTTATGCTCTTCCATCTGAGGTGGAAGTGCCTGTTGTGCTGAAGAATACAGTCTGATAGTTTGTCCTGTTTTATTGGCCATGAGTTTGTAACCTGGTACCACTGCTTATGATCAGCCTCTAAATGAAGGGTGTGCTACCTTCAGGAGTCCTTCCAGGTGTTTCCATGTCAGACTGGATGTGATGCACTTCTGTTAAGTGCACTTTAAATTTTTTATTTCAGCTTGGGCATTTTTTTAAAAGCTGGAGAAGACTCTGATGTGTAAGACAACATGAAAGACTTTGATTCAAGTGTGAGAGTCTGTATTACAAGTTCTGAAAGTGGACTGCTCAAGCTAGAAGTGCTTAGTAGAACTTTGCTCTGGATGCACCACATAGTTTATCTGTGTTTTACTGCTTGAATGCAAAGCTTCATTAAAATTTGCAAATAAACGATTCCAGAGATACCTTATCAGAATACATGGGGCAGCAAGCCACAGTTGGCACATGGCAAGTTGTTGCTGTGCATGCAAGAGGAGAGGAAATGAAGAGTGCTGTCATCAGCTGAAACTACAGGGAAGTTTTCTTCAGTAGGAGCTGATAAAACAGATTGTGATTTAACATACTCAGTCTTCGACTACTAGATCAGAGAGCTGTTTTATGTGGATCACTCATGGACTGAAAAAAATAATTTCAAAGCAGAAGAAGTGATCTGTGAGTAATTATATCCTACAAAAAAACCAGCCCCCCCAAAAAACAACAACAACAACAACAACAACAACAAAACCAAAACCAAAAACAAACAAAAAAACCCAACCAACCAAAAAAAAAAACCAACCAAAAAAACCCACAAAACCCCAAAAACAACAACAACAACAACAACAAAAAAACACCAAAAAAACCAACCAACCAAACAAAAAGACTCCAACTCTTGAATGGTTAAATTTAGCATTTCCACAGTGAACCATTTTTATATGAGAGTAGGTTCATAAGAGGAAGAAAAAAGTAGTGATAATGGTAGTACTGTTTCTCCCAAAAATTTCCCATGATTTCAAATAACCAAAAGACTCAGGAATTCAATATCTGGTAAGGTGGGACACTACTCTGTTATGCCTTTGCTCTTTGATCTGTTTGAGCCTAATGCTCTACTAATGACTAATTATTTGTAGTTGTTTTAATCACAGTATCAGAAATATTTTACTATTACTAGGCAAATGTACCATGTGTTCAAAATTTAAAGGTTTAATTTTAAAAAGCAGACCATGCCAATTTTTGTGATTCATTAGGAAGCTTACCAATGTCACTTTTTTATAAGCCCATCTTAATTATAAGATTCTAAGACATGCTTTTAGAAACTCTGGTCTGTAGTTTCCAAATTTGGAGCTCATAGAGGATGGAAGCCTGTTGATAGGCAATTGTGTGAGAGAGACTTGTATTTTTTCTTTTTTTCTTATTTCCCTTGAGGGATTTTTTTTTTTATTTCTATAAATAGAACTGCTCAGGCATCTTTATATATGGATGCATTTTACTCAGATTCTATTCTTAACAGTTATGAAGCAAAGGGAGGCTGGGATGCAGTGTTTGTGTCTATGTGCTGTGTGAATGTTTCATGGGAAAACGTTTGGGAACAGGCAGAGGTGATAAGGTTATGTGTAAGGATTTTTCACAAATTGATCAAGTACCACCCACAGAGTTTTGGCTATTTTGCTTGACAGAAAACAAAGATGTGCAATTATGGTTTGCTGTTTGTGACATCATTTTATAAGCTAAATTTAATTTTCAGCTGAACATCCGCTGGTAATGTCATGGTAATAACTTCCTATTGATTAATTAAATCTGTTCCTTCTCCTCCTTATTTGTAACTTGCATGAAGTTGCCCAAATGTGAGTTTATGTTATTACTAATGGTGTTTGAATGGAAACACTGTACACATTTTAATTTTCTTCTTTGCTTTGCTCAGAAGTAACAATTTAAAATTGATTGCCTTATTAAAATTTATTCTCTCAAAATAAGCTATAGCTTTGATGACTCTCAGAATAGTTTGGGTTTTTTTTTTAATATGAGACATTTTTACTACATTGCTGGTGACATACAGAATTGTTGTTTATGACTTGGTAGCATTTCAAGTACTTTAGAAAGGGGGATACTTTAGAAAGTACTTTCAAGTACTTTAGAAAGGGGCTAATTTGAAAGAAAGACAACATATAATTCTTGAAACTTTTCATTTGAAATAGACTTTGAGTAGAAAGACTTTCTTTAAAAGGAACTTCATTTAAAGTGAAATGTGCTGAATAAAAGTGTTGGACATGAACTAACTGGTATCCAAAAGTAAAGGAAATCTTTGAGACCTGTGTCACTCCTTTACAGCAAGGTTTTGGCATTTCAGTGTTGTGTTAGATTTCAGCCATTTCGGACCCTTTGCTGAGCTGGAGGAGATTGTAAAGTTAGGTATTAGGAAAGGTTAAGATATAAAACAGATAACCTTAAAATTATACTAGCATACTTGATGTCTGATAGTATTTAAAAAAGTCTCTACGAATTTCCAGACTATGATAAAAATAACCATTTTGGACACAGGTTAGATAAGTTGAAAATTTGAAACGGTCTTTTTTCATTTCTCTTACAAATTTTGAAAGCTCAGTTATTTGCTTATCTTGTTTGAGTTTTGACAAACATCAAGGTCTTTGTCTTATTTCTGTAAATGCTTTTATGTTGTTTTGTACTTCCAAATCTTTGAATATGTAGCAAGAAAAATCTCAATTTGCTGCTTAACCCAGTAAATTATAAGAGGACTTTTCCATTACTCTGACTTGCAGTGCTGGTGGCAGTTTACTGAGATACAAAACATTCTTTCAGATCTATTTGTCTGATATATTGAAGTTTGGATCAATTTTGCTGTAGGAAAGAAGTGGTGAGACTTTTAGTAGCTTAGCATTTGTTGTGTTTACTGAATTGATAGCTTTCCTCCTTGGGTTGAAATAATCTCTCTTGCTTCAGACTTTAACTGACAATGCTAGGGTAACAGAAATCAGTGGAAGTGATGTCAGTAAATGCCATGGTACTATCAAACCTCGAGATGGCTTCACCCTGGCTTTGTTACCATTGCCTGGGTATGTGCCCCTGTCTCTCCTAACCATGCTCTGCACTTCATGGGTTCTTGCCTGGGGGCTTGAGACCTGTCCTGCAGAATGTAACTGCACAATGGAACTTTCAACCCAGAGAGGATTGTAAGACTTTCTTTTTTTTGCTCTCTTCCCTCACCACAGTCTCTGCTTTCAGCTGTTTCCCACCACACAGGACTGTGCAGAATCACACTGAAGACACAGGAATGTTATTGTGGATAATGCAGCAGTATAAGTTCACAATAATATTGATATGATTTAGTATTACTTAAATTTAAAATAGTTGATGTCTGATAGTATTTAAAAAAGTCTGTCATTGTTGCAGTATTTAATCCATCAGTCTCTGATCGTACATGATTCAAAGGCAAGGTCAACTACATGTAAATCATTCTTGACAGAAACTCATCAACATACCTAGGTGATCTTGTAAAAGTCTGCTAATAATTCTGCCTAGCAATTTACATTCTACAAGATTATTTTAGAGACTTAGCAGATTTTTTTTAAATGTTTGACAATGATTTTAATACCCTCTATTTTGAAAATCTGTTCAGCCTTGCAACATAAATATATTTTGGGCACATTGTGTATTTTAAATACATCAGGTGAGACTAAAATTTCCCCTTTGCAAAGCTAATAGATATTTTCATGGGCTGTCAAATTCCAGAGAAATAGTTTAATTGGAACTATTTTAAAGGTTTATTTTGTAAATGTAGATATATCAAATGTAATCAGAAATAGTAAAACCTGACTACCGCAATTTATTTTAGTGTGTAAGTAAACTAAAGTTGTCTGAAGATATAAGAAGTTTTTAAAGAAATCTCAATAAGTCATTAATTATTCAGGTAAACTTGTTGTGAAGGACTTTCTAATGAATTAGTGATGATTTAACCTCTCATGACTCAAAAATACCATTAAGAACTTCAAGGCACAGACAAAACCAAATTGGTGGGGAAGATCATGCTCTCTCACTTACCCTGAAGCAAAGTTTACACATCAAAGTTTTTTCTCTCAACATTGCATTGTGTGGATCTTCTCTGTTGTTTCCTTCTCCCATTTTCTGAAAGAATCAATTTTTCAAAAAGTACCATCACTGAACAAACAACTGAAAACTACTTTTAAAAAAAGCTGAAATAAGAGGTTAGTTCATACTAAACAAAGGTTTCATACTATGAAGTTGGAAGAAGCACTTGTGGTTGTCTAGTAACATACAGATTTTTCATCTGTATGACTACTCTGAGTGAATTTCTTTGTCAACCAGGGCTGTCTTTTTGAAGAAAATGCCCCTCATTAATTGTATTTATTCAAGCCCTAGTGGTACATCACATAGCTCTTCAATCATATGTACCTGAAACATGTACCTGAAGACTGCTAAGATTTCCCTTATTGCCTCATCCATCACAGCTGGAATTCTCTCTTAGGTCAGAACAAATTGAAGTGTTACGAATTGAACCTGGTACAAAACGCAAATCTGAGGGTCCTTGTGTGTATGCATATATATATATATATATATATATGTGTGTGTGTGTGTGTGTGTGTGTGTGTATGTGTAGATTTTTTTTTTTTTAATTAAAAGCCTGACTTTTGGCTATCCTGTCTATCTTATGATGTGGTTCCACTTAAATGAAGACAAAGGCAGCTGAATCTTCAAATTATGTTTCTGTATTCAAGGGTGTTGGCAAAAGTGAAGAACTGCTGAGTCCCTCTGCTTCTCCCTCAGCAAGAAGTTCAAAAAGGAAGGCAGAGAGTGAGAGTGGGTCAGCTGTGCTTAGTGCAGAACAGCACAGAGGCATCTCCTCCTCCGTGGACTGGGCTTTGGACCACATTGTGGCCCAGCTAGAGATGCTAACTCTAGTAAGTATGCAATAACAGGTGATGCTTGCAGTGCAAAATGACAGTGCTATCAAAGGGCAGCAGTAGCCTGAAGTCATGGTCATAAATCAGAACATTAAAGACTATGGGGTTATTTTGAATAGCTGTATGGTCAAGTGACTGTTTTGGTGTTTTCCTTTCAGAAGATATTGATTGCATGTACTGTGTTTGCCAAAGTGAAAGCTTCCTGGTACATAACCATAAAGATTGTTGCTGTATTTTTAACTCTGGCTGAAGAGAATCACTGTTTTTCAGTAGTAAAATCTGGGTAGTTTTGTCAGAAGCCAGTTGTTTAGCAGACATTCCAGCTGGAACAATCACACACTAGCAGGGGATGAACAAAGTAAATTGGCAATGTACCATTAAATCCCTTTCCCAACTTAGTGTGTGAGGTGTCTGCTTAGGTAGGAATCCAAGCAGTGCAGTAAGTCCTTGTGCCAATGAAACTGCACAAATACTCAGTCTCAGTCAGTGACTCTGAGTCACTTGTTTGCAAATGCTCAATACATCTTTTTAATCCAGATGTACCTTATAGTTTCAGTTTGTAGTCTGTAATATACTGACATTAAATCACTTCAAAATGGAGCAGCTAAGGGTTTTTTTTTCTGCGTTCTTTTGCAATATATATGTTAAGTAGGAAGAAACAGTTTTTGAGAAGTATGGAGTCAAGTCATGAGTTGGAAATTATTTGTGTAGTAAGTTGTAAAAGAAACTGCCAGCCTGGGTCCAAAAACCTACTTCTTCTGCTGAAAATAATATCATGGAGAATAAATGCCTTTTAATAGTATATTTTTTCTCATTTCCTTTTCTTGGGGATGCCTTAAAAGTTTCTTTTAGTTTTTTGAAAGATACCGTTTGTGGTCACAGGGATGGCTGTTTTTCTATTGGAATATGGATGCAACTTTCACATAGTATTTCTGAGTACTTTACATTATACATGTATGAATTTCTCTTTCTCAGTGAAAATGTTTTGTGAAAGCAAAAGCCTTTAGACAATCTCCATGGAGGCAAAGCTGTAATTTTTAAATACAGTTGTAAATAGTGGATTAGCTAAGGAGAAGCCATCTTACAGTATTTTTTCCTGTTGAGTTAAAATTATTTTTCTTATGTTGCACGCTTTTATAATACTGTGTGAATAATATAAAGCCAATTGAAATTATTCTCTTCTTCATGCAGACCATTTCAGTCCTGGAAGAACGTCTTACTTGTACAGAAGATAAATTGAAAGAATGCATAAAAGATCAGCAAAAAATGTTGCTTAAGGGAAAACAGAACTAATAAAATAGGAAAATGAACTATGTTGATGAGTATGTTTCATAAAATCACAAGGAATGTTTCTTCACTGGATTTTACTATAAGCAGAAACATCAAATCAAAGTAATAAAAATGGAAGAAATTTGAAAAAAAAATTTCAAACATTGGTAGCAAGCAGATATTCTGGTTATCTATTTAATGAAATGTAACCCAATCAAAACTACAACTTTCTAAATAATTTCCATTGAACATTCCCGAACTCTTACTTCAACCTAACAAGATATTTGCATATAACTAAGCCACTAACTACATATTTTTAGATTAATAGCAGTTATTATGCAGGTTACCACTGTGCAGATATTTAAACTCAGTCAACAATGTTTTTAAAAATAATGTTCTTTGTGCTAAGATAACATTACTGAAACACCTAAATTAAGTAAGACATAATACAAAAATGCCAGAGGTGTTCTTTGTCCCTTACATATTCTCAAGTGTTTTACCAAAAAGTAGTGTGTTATTCTTTATCTTCTCAGCATTTTAGTAATGATTGCAAGAAGGTGTAGTGTGAAAACTTATAGTTACAAATGCAGGAATTAAGTCACTTTAACTTAGAAGATATAATTGCATCTATGTGAATCCAGCTGCAAAACATGAGTTTTGATGCACTTGAACACTTCTGCCTATCATATCCCCATCAAAATTCACTTTTCCTATTTATAAAAACAAAAGTGAGCTTTATACTTCTGAAGAATATATTTGAACCAAACACAAAAATTTGCAAAATCTAGATCATAAATACTAAAGATTCTTATCCCATAAGAATGTCCACGTGTGCTCAAGCTTTGCATGCTGTGAATGTACCTGATCAAGTAATGCATTGTGAATGCAGACATAAGTCAGGAAAACTTTGCAGTGTATGATGATTTGAGTTTTATTTTTAATAAAAATGCAATTCTTAGAAATATGATTTTGGGTCTTATTTAATGGAAAATATATATTTTCTTTATGTCTGTCTATTTTTTAAAATGTCAATTGCAGAACACCTGTTGTAAATCCACAGTAAAAACTAGGTAATCATGCATTTCTGTAACTTTACATGTCTGTTGAAAAATAGGACACTTGGAATGGGGAAGCACTTTAATCCAATTCTCAACTGACTGTATATAGATAAAGCCCATTTCCCAGGCTGAACCTCATTAACATCAGCAGAGTTCAACTTTAGTACACAAGCTCACTGTGTAAATATGACTGCAGCTCAGGCCACAGAAATGTGCAGTCAATTTTTCTTGCGTAACTTATTTTCTCTTTCAGCAACCATCTTTGATAGCCAGACATCATCTCACTTCCTTTGTTAACTCTGATTTTTACCAATATGTACTCAATATTTGCAGTTCAGTCTTGAGCTCTACTGGTTTTGGCAAAGAAGCAATCTCTTATAAAATTTTTGGATGCAACTGTTTCTAGGCAGCATCCTAACCACAGATTTTTTTGTCAGAGAATGGTCATATGTATTCCAGCCTGACCTTTGATTATGCAATTGTTTATACTACTACATAACACAAAGTTATATAAATGCTGTCTTTTGGATCAAATGTACTTCACTTTATGAATTTGCAAATACTCTTGTGGTTTTTGTCTTTTCTTGTCTCCATTAGAAGACACAAAACCATGTAGCTATTAAAATTTTTGCTTATTTCGTGTTTTCTCTTGGTGGACTACATATATATATGTCTTAAATCTGCAGATTTTTCTTTTAAGTTTTTTTCAGGATTATTTAATCAATAAGATTTGGATATTTCTTTTACTTCCATATTTTTAAATAAAATCTCTGCTGAATTTTTCCCTTCTGCCTTAGCTCCTGTCACTAATCCCTCTACCTTTTCAGTACCTATTATCTGGAGAGTTTACTACTTAATCCAGTTTATTCCTCTGTTGTTTGTGCATCTGGTGAGCCAACATAACATTCCCAAATTAAGACATGTTATTCTGTTGGGTGGTCTGTTGATACTGAAACTCAACAGGATGACACTTGGGAGAATGTCTGGTCATGGTTGGTTGAAAACAGGATGGATGTATTTTCCTCAAGCTGTGATGGCTTTTCTAAAACACAGCCACAACCATCTAACATGATGTTTCTTTTCAAAAAGCATTGATGTGGGCTAGTTATCTTATTCTCTTCATCCATATAACTTCTAATAAAGTTTTGGAGCAGAAATACTTCTTTTAAAAGCACCTGCCAAGGCTGTTAAACTCTTAGAAGCATTTACTCTAGGGTTTGTACTCTGTCAAGTAACTGGTGATTTGACTAATTTGAATTATAAAACTAGAGGAAAATGACTGCTGTTTAGTCTTAGTTGTGCTTTTGCACTATGTGAAAAAAATAATTGCATGGATCTTATAATTATGAGAATTATATTGGTATTGGAGACTGCATTGAAGTACTGATAGCCCAAACTTGTTCTAAACAAGCTGAACAATGTACCTGATGCAGTACAGCCTCCCTCAGGCTAAATTATCCCTCTGATACTAAATATAAATAGACCCCCCTGCTGGAGAAAGACTGCTTCCAGCTTTCAGGCCTGCTACTGCAAAAATGGCTCAATTACTTCTTAAAATAATGACATGTAGTAGATCCCCAAGGTTTGTGTGTTGAGGGAGAGAAGGTGGTGGCAGCAATAGTTGTTGCTGGGAGACTGTCTCTGGAGAAACCCCATTTCAAATTCCTCAAGTGTCAAAGCACTGTGCAGCAGCTCAGCAGCTCATTGTAACGTATTTCAGCAGACATTTCAAACTAAAAATGCTCTTCCAAATTGAAAGAAATGCTACCAATTGTTACTTCAGCATTCACTTTTTGATATTGATATATTTTTTTAAATTTAGGCTTTTGGAAAATCAGTTCCGGAGGTGAATGCATCTGAACAATTCCCTTGTCTTTGGGGGATTGTTGTTTCTTGCTTTTATGTAAGATACTAATTAGTTTTTTCATTATCATCTTCATGGTGAGAAATCTAAATCTGTAGTTTTAAATTTTGATCATATTAATCTTTTAGCTGGAAAAATGTTGGTAGAATAGGTTCTCATTGGCATTTTAGGATGTCCTGAACACATCCATATAGAATGAGAGATTTGAAAAATACAACTTACCATCTTTATTTACGTCTCTTTGAATAAATAAATAAATATGCAGTACTATTTTAGGGTAGTGTTCTTTTTTCTTCCTAGAAGTTTTTTTACAGTGTTGCTGAATTATTTTAATTGCCATATCACAGCACAAAATCACTCTTGGTTTTCCTACTGAGCGACAGTGGCCAGGATGTGGCTATTTCCAGGGACATAGCTTTATGTAACCTGTTTACCTTGTAGGACTTGTAAAAATCAGAAATTCTGTACTCATTGCCCCAAACAATTAATGAATATGTATGTTCACATTGGATCCAGGAACAGTATGTTTTTGTCAGAGTACCCCCTCAGGGACTTTTGCACGCTTCAGATGCATAATACAATTGAAGCTGTTTCTTTGTGAGAAAATAGGTTAATGACTTGCCAAAAGGCAGATGTTAATTGGAAAAAGTGCATACAAGTCCTTTTCTTTACAATGTATATGGGTTGCATTTGTTAGGACTTGCATCCAAGAACAGGTGCAATTTCAATTGACTCAGCTAACAGGATGTGCTGAGTGCACTCCTCACCAATTTCACCAGAAATTTTAAATCCAGCAGAAAAAAGGAGTTTCTAAACTACTCAGTGAGTGATAAGCTGCTTTTATTTTCTGTCATAGAGCATATTTATAACTTAATATTGAACCTACAATTAAACATCTTAATAATATGAAAATAAAATCTTTGATTTTTTAATGATGTTGTCACATTTTACTGGTGAGCACTGGTACCTTACATGAGACAAAATGTGTCATCCTTTCTAAATTGTTTCTTTTTAAGACAAGAGTTCTAGACAAGGTACCACCTGTGTAATTGTAAATAAACCTTAAAACAGAAAGATTGTCTTTTTCACTAACACGTTTCCTGCCATGAAGCTACACAATCAGATCAAGGTCTTTGTCTTGCCTTGCTTCATTTTCCCACAGTTCAGAAGCAAAAGTTAATGAAGCAGGTGGGAAAAAAAACTATCTGGGTGTGTCAGGGTTAAAAGAGCTGCTGTTGGATAGTTTAATAGTTCTGTTCAGAGGTCTCTGGGAATTTCTAGGCTACTCATACAAGTCCACTGCAACAGGAACTTTGGTTTGGATCCACATGCCTAGCCTAACCTCATCCTTCAAAGTCTGAGGAGGCCTGGATGTGAAATTCCTCTGCCTGGGGTGTATCAACAGTCTAAACCAGTGCAGGAAAATCTAGTTCAAGATGGCCCATTGGCATTAATGAGGGTGCTGGTGGTTGGGGTTTTATGATTTTCCCATGCCTGTAGCAAGGACCAGCTCAGTGCACTTGGAGAAGCAGGAATGAAGAAATGAGAAGAAATACTGAGAGTCTCAATGCCATATAAATATAGAATTCTGCAGCTCTCGGTAGCAGTTAGGTTTGTAAGTGCATCTATGGCCTGTGTTCTTAGAGACCTGCATAAAAAAGAGGGACCTTATTTCTCTTCAGAGCCACTAAAGAGGAATCAATTGCCAAAAGAGAAAAAGGAAAGACAATCACTGACTCTTTTTCATCCACTTGTGCTTTGTAATGTAATGAGATAGTAGCTCTGTCTTGGGTTTTTATCTCCTCCTAATCCCCAGAGGAAATCCCTGCTCCTTTTATAGAGATAAAACCTTAGCTCACAGAAGGTAGCAAGAGCTGGGAGTCTCTATGCTAAAGGGTGTCACTAAACCCTCTTCTGGCCACAGCAGTGAAAGCCAAAGGCCTGTAGTGCTTACTCCAACACCTGCATTGAATGTCAATTCTCCCTTAAAATTCAGGAAAAGATTTATAATATTCATAAGCAAAGCATGTTTGTGTAAATCTGCTGTTTACTGGGACTTCATGAATAAGTGTCAGAGAGACACAAGTCTGGGAAGGTCAAAGCAGTAAAATTCTTTCTCTGATTTTTTCTAAGGAAGATTCAGGTAAGCCATATGCACAAAGTTCTGCTGCTTTGTGCTACCTTCATCTTGCACATCTCAGAAACGTTTACGATGAAATGGGCTTGGGCGATAAAAAGAACAGCAGCAGTGCTTTCTCATGAGTGCATTGGTTGAACAGTTTTTGATTAATATCTTCATTTCATAATGCATGCTGGGACTGCAAGACCCAGGATATTTGCTAAAGCCTAAAGGAGTAATTTGAAAGAGAAAGATGAGATGGTTGGTGATGGTTTCTGGCAATGTCCAATTTCTGCTCTGACTACTTGGGGATATTCTATTAAACTTCCCTGATGCCACACCTAAAATTTGATGTTGTGAGCAAGAGCAGGGTTTAGCCCTTAATCTTAAGACTTGAAAATTCTTGTACTTCCCAAAACCAGCTCTCATTTCTAAAATTACCTAAATGTGTTAAAATGTGATTAATTTTTCAGTTAAGCAGTGAGTCTAATCGGGCAAAACATAGATTATATTTGATTGCATGTAACTATACTGAGTGATTTCAGTCTGCTCTGATGTTTCTCTGCAGCTTCATTGCTGAAACACTGTGAGCTTTTGTGCAGCTTCTGCAATCTATTCAGTATAGACCTTGCCTATAAATAGCTGCATTATTGAAAGACTGTGAGAGGTTCATTAGAGAAGTTGTGAAAGTCTCCTTCGAGCCGGGGCTGATATAGTAGCACTCCAAATTACCAGAGAGTTTCAGCATGTGGGTAAGACTAAGCACGAAGCTGGGCTTTTGGCCGTGCAGCAGCAGCGATGCCCCCTGGAGCATGCCCCTGTCAGCCCGGCTGTAGGAACTCGTGGTCACACGGATCTTGTCCCCGACCAGAGGCAGGACACAGCCAGGGCGTGTGCTGGGGGCCAGGGCTGCAGGACATCCTGCC